ACGAAAAAAAGGAAAAATAGTCAAAAATCGCCCACAATCCTTCACTGTGTCGCCTCTGCATTCCAAACGAAATCTTGAACTAATGTGAAACTTACATGCTAGACGCAGTTTTTCACGCTCTATTCATTGGTGCTAAAATAAAAATCGAAAAAGGTGTGAAACGTTCTTGAAAACACTAATTATTGATTAATTTTTGACTATTTTTCCTTTTTTTCGTAATATTTTTGCTCAAAATACGCTCACACTGCATTTTTGTTTACATATTTGGATAGACCAACTATTTTCACCAATAACTGTTTAGTTTCAAGTTTGTTGAATGACTCTTTCTTGGTGAAAACTTGCAAACTATCAATTGGACTGACCTTGACCAACCTTCAGTTTTTGGCATTCAGCTCCACGAAATGTTTACTTTTTCTAACTTTAGTTCTCATATTCGTGATCAGCACAAAATTCTGAGTCAGAAAAGGTGTGTTTCGAAAATTTTAGAGGAAAAACGTTTTTCGATGTTCCAAGGTCCTTTGCCCTTAAATTTTTCGATAAAGATCATAATGCGATTTTTGGAAAGTTGAGACGGCTAAAATACTCAAAATTTTACTCTGATTCCGAATATGTAAGTTTCATTGAGTTTTATTGGGATGCTCGTCAGTCACTTATCCTCCCCCGTCCTTTGTATTTCTTTATGAAATACAAAACAACCAATAACTCATTCTTTTCTCTTCTGCCTTATCTTTCTGTCTTGACTTTCTTTTAACAAAATGAAAACACACTATTGATAAAGCTGCAAAAAAGATATATTTGCCTGCCATTATTTAAAACAATCCTTTGGGTTACAATAAAATGAATTTATTTTGTTGAACTGCCTGAAAAATTGTTCTCCGGTTCTAAGCCGAGAACCGAGAACCGCGGTTCTCCTCTAAGTCGGGAACCGGAACCGCGGTTCTCCTCCCAGTCGGGAACCGGAGCCGAGGTTCGTTTCGCTTCAGTTCTAAGTCGAGAACCGGAACCGCGGTTCTTTTCCGTTAGGTTCTAACTCGTGAACCGGAACCGTCATTGCGGTTCCAGTACCGCGGTTCTCGGTTCCGGAACCGAGAACCAAACATCCCTACTTATATGCGAGATCGAATATAAATTGAGAAGGATTGTGAACTGCCCGTTAGTGCACAGTTGTATCTGATGGGGCCCTGTGGTTAAGATATACGGCTTGTCTAGCTAACGCCCCCCAGTTTTTGCTCTTTTCGAAAAGTTATTGTAATAACGCTACAAACTAATATAAAATGGAAACTAGATAATTAACTAGATTAAACATTTCTCTACAAAATGCTGTTTTTTGTCACGGCATCACGGTTTTTCTGGTTTTTCTTTGATTAATACAGATTAATTAAAATAGTTTCGAGCTTGACAAGCTATCACATCTTGTAGAGCAAAAAATTTTCTACAAACTGGTATACTTGTTCAAGTATTGCCAGCTCATCTTCACTCTTTTCGACGCGCTTTATAAATAGCTCCAAAAGCGATCTTTTGGGCTCTTTGTACAACAGCTGTATTTTTAAAACAAATCAACGTTCAGAGCCGAGACACTTTTCATTTTGTAGTGAAATGTTTAATCTACTCAATTATGTAGTTGCCATATTAGATTAGCTTGTACACTGTCAGTGTGGAGACATATCCCGATCAGGATATAGAAGGTGTTCCCTTACTGACTGTAAAGTCGGGAATTATTTACAGAAAATGCTCGGCGATTTTCAAATATATGAAATCCTCACGGATTTTCTAGATTATAGAAAATCGAATTTCCATTAATGCAGAAAATCGACATCGATTTTATGCATTGTGGGGAAGTATTTATAGAAAATCCTAGGGATTTTATTTATGGACTTTCGAAAATCGAAAGATCGGATTATTTTCTACTTTCTAGAAAATGGCTGAAGATAAGCTTTTTCACGTATATTAAAAGCTATTGAACTTTGAAGTTGAGTGGGCTGAATTATTTCAGCTTATTGAATGACATTATGGATCTTTTACTAATAAAAGCCAAATTCGACATCGATCACGTGTTGAACAACTGTTATTTTATTTTAAAAAATAAAAAATATAAACGTGAATTGTTAGGACCATCTCTTTGAGTTAATCGAATCAACTACAGTTTTGGAAAATGCTACATTCAGACACAAAAATGAGGAATATTATCAGAAGCGAATCGCTTTATGATCTTCAGGAGGTGAAACTTTCTCTTAACCAGGCCTAATGCAAGAACCTTTTCAGACCTTTTTGTGATCTCTAAGTCCCATACAACAATAATACTTCTCGAAGAATATGCTGATTTGCGAAAACTGAGAGAACTTTCCGAATCTACTAACATTTCTGATGTTAAATACTACATTAAACAGAGATCTGTTACAGGATAACTTATTGCAGGGAAGGCTTTGATAGATGTGAAAAAAGGAAAAAAACATTACCGATTGGTTTTCTTAGAAAATCGAATTCGATTTGCCACTATTTAGAAAATCGTTTTCGAATTTCAAGAATCTGGAAAATCGAGTTGATTTTCTATAATGTTTTGCTAGAATAGTAGTATTTTGTTTTTATCACGTATAAAAGAGATTTTTGTGTTCTTTATCGTTCAGAAATACATAGTATACAATGAGTTATAACAGAAGAAATGGTCAGAAGGACTACTTTCCATGTCGCGCGAACGGGAAGTCAGATTCAACTGAAATTTTTATCTGTAAGTAGTCCATGAGATGATTTGTGAGATGGAATTGTAAAAAAATGTCAGCTTCAAATAATGTTTTGTTATTGAGATATAACCAGAACAAAAATCAGTGCAAGCACAGTAATGGTACCGATAGAGAAACTTATTTCGTTCGTATCTCCAGAACTAATGTCCCAAATTCTTTTAGGCTTTTTATCTATACCATTGACCCTATCGATGAGCAAAATATAAGCTCGAACAGAGTGTATCACTTGCGAATGTTTCTGCGTTAGGCACCTAAAATCTGTACAATACACTAGAGCCAACCTTTATTCAAATCGATTTCATCTGTGAGTGTTTGTATTTCTCAATATTCTTCATCCAGGTAGATGATGATAAACTCGCGTTTGTTCCACAATAAACCTTAAACATGCGGCGAGAGTTTGACAGAACTCGATTTTGGACTTCTGCGGTAGTTTTCAGTAAAGGAAAGGGGTATTTGAAAACACTGTTTAATATTCCAGTTTCTGATAATTGCTGAAAATCAGTGGAAAACTATTGCTCTGTGAATCTCTAACCACATCTGTTAGATTGATTCTGCAACCAACATGAGCTCTTCAATATCTATATGAATTGAAGAATTTTGAGAAATACGAACAGTTCCAATTTTTGTACACTATTGTGACTACATATGGTGAACGCATAAAGATTGAGTGAAAAAGCAAATTTTGTGACACGATCGCCATTCACTGGAATTTTTGTCAGATTTGAATTATGGTTATCGAGACAGGTTTCAACTAGCGGGAGCGGATTTAATAGTCATTATTCACTACTTCTGAAAGAATAACCTGTTTTTTAGTGTTTTAAATGGAAGAAGTACATGGTGATCAATGTATGTGCGTATTTTCTGGGTATCATAATTCTCGATGAAAAAACTTACCTGCTGGAGGGCATGGCGCTTTTGTGTGTTTATTACAAAAAGGACCTTGGCAGCATTTATGATGACGATCACGACATTTATATTTTTTATCGTATGCCTCTCCAAGACCATAACCATCGCGTTTTACAAGTGCACCTGTATCATCAAATTCCTAAAGTAAAAAAGACTAATGTCTTAAAAGAGACAATTGTTAATAATAATATAATCGAACTAACACTATAACACGTAAGAACATCGGCACCAAATGCTCGAGATGTTTTTGTTGCATATTTTTCAAAGGGTACGCCATCACATTTTGTTATTTTGTCACCAAATATTTTCCATCTACTTGATGGATTTTTATTATTACATCGATAACAAATTTTCGCCTCACTTTGTCCAACCGTGTAGATTACTAAAATGAAAACACTCTTTCTAAATTTCTTCGTAAAAGTGCTTCTGGGACCTGATGAATACTTGAAATCTCACAGTAGTAATCAAATCAGCTATGAAATCCCACTATGAAACGTTGTATTTTATTATCGTTCATTGTTTTCTCATACGATGAAAATTTTATGAAATGTAATAATTCCCACATGATAACAGAGGCTTTTGACGGGTTCATCAGTGCTCGATCACCTCGTCAGACGTCTACTAATATAATACACTAGTATGCATGAGGCTTGAAATCGGCCTACTATAGTTTATCCTTCAAATGTGTTCAAAACCTATCAAAAATCAAAATAATCTAATCCGATGATTTCGATTCTTTTGAGCGCTTTTGGTAGCACATATCCGACAAAATCTATTTAGAAAGAAACGTTCGCATCACACTACCAGTACGACCGAAAAATGGAAATTTCTTGCTACCTATCTAGTATTTAACCTAGTGTAGTACATTATTCGATATGCTTTGATAAGCTTTACAATCATTAACCGATTCTTCCGCGAATTTTTGATAATAGATAGGAGAGCTAAACTTTAGAAAACTAACAAAATCTCTGATATTAATGAACGTACTCGCTATAACAATTGTAATATAGCTTCACCTTCAACTAACTTTTTAAAACTAATTACATAACAGATAAGTACTTGAAAAGCTCCAGCACATTCATACAATGTCATGCAAACATCTTTTGCATGTAGCTATATTTCTAACTCACTCTCACGCTGCCCTCACCCTCATTATCCACCACACCCTGCCAAAAATATTCAAATTTGTATTTTGTTAAAAATCCGCGGAAGAGTCGGTTCGTGGACTAGTCATGTCACGCTCTACAATATATGCTAATAGAAAAGTCGACGGAGCATGGCAGCGAACAGAGACCATCGCAGGGTAACTTTTTTCGCGCTATCTTGTCTTGCCCTGCCCTGTCAGAAAATGACTCGTAAAATTTTTCTGGCCCTGCCCAGCAGTACAAAAGAAAGTTTTTCTGCTTAACCTAGAAGACTTTATCTTCAAGTAACTAATCACAAATATTGGATGTGTTTTTCGTGCGTAACAGAAGCTTTTTTTTATTAATTATCAATTTTAGAAAATTGGCTATCATTTTTATTTTCATATATACGAGAAATCTCAAAATCTTACTTAAAGAGAAGGTTGAAAGTCTCAAAAACCCATCTCTCGCAGGACAAATCAAGAAATGTTTTGCTGCCCTGTCCTGTAACAGGACAGAGCGAAAAAAAAATATCACCCTACCGGATACGACAGAACAGGACAACAGGGCAGGCCTGTCCTGCGATGGTCTCTAGCAGCGACCTTCGTAAAGGAAATACCAGCTCAGATATGTCTGAAAGTCATTACCAAATCGGCTATAAATAGCGTTATGTTAGCGAATATTGGGTAGGATTCATTGCAATAAAACAGTTTGTGTCAGAATAACTGCGCTGTTCGTTATGTACATGAGAAATGAATATCGAAAAAATATATTCTAATAGTTATAGATATGAAACTGATGAGCTATACTTGAATAAAACTGAGCAAGCATGTTCAAAGCTAGAGTATGAAATGAGAAAATAGAGCTTTTTACTTTTGGTCAAGTAGTTTTTTCCAAACGCTCTAGAAAAATACCAAGTGATAACTCATTCCACTCGATTTTTCTGCAGATAACGGACACCGCAGTTATTCTGGCATCGCAAGTTTTATTGGTGGTAAACTCTACTCAGTACCCGTTAAGACGATGCTATTTCTTCTTGTAGTTCCGTTAACCTGATAAGTACATATTTGCTTCTAAGACTTTGTGATATATCCGTCGAAAGCGGTAAAAACGGCATCTATCCGCATGCTTGGCTCATCCATTGAAGTTGCAGCTAACTAGACACAAACTTGATTACAAAACCTAATATTTCCGTGGACTTCTCTTCTCTTCTATACAAACAGAATATTTTTTAACACTCGACTTCAAGAAGGAATATACTCGAAAATCATTATCAAGTAACC